AAAAAGAAAGAAAGAAACTATAGAACAAAGATGATCTGCTAAAATTGTAACACATGACCAGACGAGGTGGCGCATGCCTGTAATACCAGCACTTTGGAGACCAAGGTGGGCAGATCGCAATGTCAAGAGATCGAGACCATCCTGGCCAACAGGATGAAACTCATCTCTACTAAAAATACAAAAATTAGCTGGGTGTGGTGGTACATGCCTGTAGTCCCAGCTACTCAGGAGGCTGAGGCAAGAGAATCACTTGAACCTGAGAGGTGGAGGTTGCAGTGAGCCGAGATTGCGCCACTGCTCTCCAGCCTGGTGATAGAGCGAGACTCCATCTCAAAAAAAAAAAAAAGTTGTAACACATAATAAATGAGATTTGACACTGCAATTCATAGACCCACACTTTTAAGTGATCTTAATACAACATTAAACAATTGACAAATAAAAATACATGATATTGTTACAATAAAATTAAATGGTTAAAGTATGTACCAACTATGATTCCCCCACCTTAATCTACCTTTTCAGTTAACCATATAGGTCAGCACTGTTTAAAGAACTTTCTGTGATGACAGAAATATTCTATATCTATGCTGTTCACTAGGGTAGCCACTAGCTACATGTGGCTATTTGAACACTTGAAGTGTTGCTAGTGCAACTGAGATACTGCATTTTAAATTTCAGTTAAATTTGATTGATTTAAATTTAAAAGTAACAGCCACAAATACATTGTATCAGATAAAAGAATGTCTTTTATCTGATACAAAAAGTAATTTTTTTTTTCTTTTTTTTGAGATGGAGTCTCTCTCTGTGGCCTAGGCTAGAGTGCAGCTGTGCGATCTTGCCTCACTGCAACCTCTGCATCCCGGGTTCAAGTGATTCTCCTGCCTAGCCTCCCAAGTGGCTGGGATTATAAGCATGTGCCTCAAAAGTAACACTTTTAATAAATGAATTTTAATTGTTAACAAACCTAGTAAGTGGAAGAATTTGTTAAGAGAGATGAGCATTTACTTCGAAGAACATTAATGAAAGAATTTCTATGTTTCATTAGAAATTATTTAGATTAGTGTTTCTCAAACATGAGTAATATGCCTTCCCCTTTTAAAGGACAAAAGTCAAGGAGGACCCCCAGCATTGACTTTTTATTATTTATAACATAATCAAAATCATTTTTATTACAAAGTTACTTAAATATATACAAACTTAAAACTGGATATAATCTTATGATTTTTATATAATTAAAAGATCAAAACAAATTTATAAAATAAATTCAAAATGTTATAAAATCAATATAATTCTAATTTTAAGCTGTTCATTAAAATTTGATTTTTAATTTCTTTATAAAGAACTCACTTTAGAGAAACTCTGGTCTAAACTAACTGCAGAACCCAGTTTATGTCTTTGATATTCTTTGATTTTCTTTATTAAGTATTAGAATTTTGAGTAAAAAATAAGTTGCAGGTATGTCTCTAAGCAATCTGTACTGCAATATCTTAATAGAAGAAAGGGGTTATTTGATCAAGGTTGTTCTTTCTATTAATTGCAGGTTGTCAATGAGAGCTATGCACTTTAATAATAAAAAAAATTTAGTTTTTGAAACTATAATTGTAGAATATTAGAGTTCAATCAAATGTTCAATAATATCCATGGGTTTTTGTGAGCAATGTACTGCAGATCAAATCATATTCATAGCTATTGATTTCTTTCCAATAACAATTTTCATGGCAAACAAGTATTTTCTATTATTTCCAAATATTTTCACATTAGTACAATTTTATTTTCCAGTAAGAATGTGGAAATTTACAAGCATTGCTCAAAAAGCAGACATAACTCTTCTGCTTAGAATTTTCTTTTTCACTTATATTATCATGAGTAACTGACATCATCTAATAATCCCACAGTGGTAGAGTAAATGATTGCATCTCTATGTTATCAATATTCAAACTTTATACACATTTTTGTTGAGATATTCTGTATATGTAAAGAAAATAAAGGTTAAATACATACTGTTAAGACTGCAGAGTTTTGGAATTTATTCTGTGAGGATAAATGGACATAGCCTGAGGAGTAACTAATTTTTTTATCAGGATAACTTTTAATAGAGATTGTTGCATCAAATGCTTCAGTGTGTCCATAAGCTTGAATTACGATATTTTCAGATGCTCCAACACGGAATATTTTTGGTGCTGAAATGACATATCTGTTGAAAAAGGAAAAGATAAGGCTCAGGGTCTTTATATGACATATTTTCTTACACTTTTGATTTTTTTCTCTCACTTGAGAGATTCCATTTAAAATACATATATTTCCTCACTTAAAAATGATATTAGTAAGTTAAAATGTACTTGTGACCTACCATAATGTCAGCATAATTTCCAAGAAGTAGCTTGGAATTAAGACCTGAGAAATGAAGTTGGAGGTTTAGTTTACATTTAGAAAGGTAAAGTAATAATAGCACCTTCTCTTAGCTACTGTAGCCAAGGAAGACTTTGAATCATGTTGACCAGAACATCTAAATGGGGTCAATATTTTTTGCTCAATGAAGAAAAAAGCAATATAGGCACCAGTGATTGAATTCCAGCTGTGCCATCTGCTGGCTGAGTGACTGTGGTAAAGTCAGTAACTCTTTCTGAGGCTACAATAATTTACTCTGAAAATAATCACCTTCTTTACCAGGATCTGGTAAAGATTACATAAGAACATATATATGAAATGTCCTAGCATGCTTAGTACTCAATACATGTTAAGATTTATTAATCTCACTAAATTAAGTTAAAAGGGAGTGATCTTAGAAATACTATGTCATACTAGCAAATGGATAATGAAAAGGATAAAATATGAGTGAGCTGGGAAGTGCATTTGGAAATGGAAATAGTGATGGTGGTCCTTTAAGAGAAAATCATCATCATCTTCAAACAACAATGGCAATTAAGTACTTGCCATATGTCAGAGGCTTTATCAGCATTTTACATACAGCTCTTGTTAATCTTTACAATAAGCCAATGACGCTGATACTATCATTATTCCTATTTTGCAGGTGGTAAGAGGCTATCTTGGCTAAAGTTTTATGGTTTGTAAGTAAATAAGGGAAGACTTTATATGTTCTCTCTCAGCTGTTATGTGTACATTTGAGGTTAAGGTTGTAAGTGTTACTCACAATCATAGACTGTTCTCTTATTTTTACTTTTCATGTGATTTATACAAGAATGGAAGTGAATCTATACATGTTTTTGAAATATAAATTTTTAAATATGTTTAATTTAAATATAAATTTTTAAAAATTAAAAAAATATATAAATTTTAATATTTTTTATTGTTTTAATAAATAAAAATTCACAAATATAGAATGGAGTATTAACTGTATATCACAAATGTGTCTAATTTGAATATCGAGAACTGCATATGCTATTACATAGGGAAAAAAAGTGTTTTAACCCAAAAGGGCATAGTGAACAACTAATTCAAGTGGTCCAACAAACTTGAAGTGCACCCACCACCCCACTTGGCAGAATTATTGCAGGCTTCTGTCAACATTATGACATTTAGAGTCTGGTAAAAGCAGGAAGTTTTTAGTAACAATGGAATTAATTTATCGGAAATTAAATCATTTAAAGCATCTGGCAGTTCTCCTACATGACAATCAATTTGGATCCACTTAGAGGCAAATTACAAAAGAGAGGAAAGAATTTCCAGATTTCCAACCATCATCTGAATTCCCTTTCCCCACATGCCTAGCAGGATATGGCAGACAATGAGAAGAGTTCAGCTTTTATGATAATAAGATACATTTACTGAAATTTTACCCTGTGCTAAGGCACTATTCTGAATAATTTATATAAATAAACTCATTGTGTTGAGGAACTATTACTCCAATTTAAAGGTGAAGAAACTGCTAATTAACTTTCCCTAGGCCACACATATAGGATTTATGAATTCTATAATTCACAAATTACAGAATTAGGAATAGAACCTGAGCAGCCCATTTCCAGAATTAACATTTTCAACTGTTGTACTAAACGGAATTTATCAAGAGTTTTGTCAGTAGAAAAATTTAGGGATACAAAGCTACTTTAATTTCAGTACTTATAGAAGCTTTATGTTTTTCAGTTTAGTATTGCCTTAGTTTTGAATTGTCTATGTCAGGGGCCCCAACCCCTGGGCCATGAACCAGTATTGGTCCATGGCCTGTTAGGAACCAGGCCACACAGCAGGAGGTGAGCAGTGAGGCAAAGGAGCATTACCACCTGAGCTCTGCCTCCTGTCAGATCAGTGGTGGCATCAGATTCTCATAGGAGCATGAACCCTATTGTGAACTGTGCGTGTGAGGAATCTAGATTGCACCCTCCTTTTGAGAATCTAATGCTTGATGATCTGCAGTGGAACAGTTTCATCCTGAAACCATCCCAAGCCCAACTCCGGTCCATGGAAACATTGTCTTCCACAAAACCTGTCCCTGGTGCCAAAATGGTTAGGGACTGCTGGTCTATGTGATGGTAGCAGTCAAGCCTAAAATATTAAGCGTTTAGAAGCCCCTAAAAGATGATTCTGGAACCACCCTTCATAAATATTTTAGTTCTTATTTATGCTACTTATGCTCAGTAGCATAATCTATTCATCTAAAGAACTTCATAGTTTTCTTTGTTTTTCAATTGCTGCAGAGGATCAGGCTACTGAGCTTGCAGAGAGGAAAGAATGTTACTTTTTGGCCTCTACCTTGAATGCTGTTTCCTCAAATATTTGCATGGTGTGCTTCCTCACTTCCTTCAGCCTCTGTTTTAGTGCAGCTCTCCTTAAAGAGACCCTTTTCTGGCCACATTTTAAAGTAGTGCCCCATAATTATTATTTTTTAATTCTCATACTCTTTTTTTATTTTTTCTTCATAATACTACCTACCTGACCTTACACATTCTTTCATTGGTTCATTCATTCATTACTTGCTTCTCCCACTGGAAGGCAAGCTCTAGGAATTGTCTTACCATTTGCTGTATCTACAGTGCCTATCATATAGTTAGGTGCTCAATAAATATTTGTTGAATCAATCAATCGACCAGTTAATTAAAGTGATTAATTGCCATGTTGTAAATGGTACACTCTGACTTTTTCAGAGAAAGTGAGGAAATAATTTTTATTAAGGACCAGTAGAAAGAATTCAGAATAACTCTGGACAAGAACCATGGAACCCAGGTCCTAGCCCTAGTTCTGCCACTAATTTGAAGTCACTTAATTTCAGTCTCTCTAAGGTTTAGCTGCTTGTCTTTCAAAAGGAAATAATAAAGACAGGATGCTAAGGTAGTGGAGTGATTGTGGTCATGTGATAAAATCACAGCTCAGAAATCGGAGGGTGCTAAAAAAGAATGACATCCTAAGTATGTGTTTATATATATTTATATGTATACATTTATGACAAAATGAAAAATATAAAGTGATAAAAAGGATACCTTAATAAAAATCCTGTTTCTCTCTAGAACTGTGACCTTTGGCCAGTTACTTCCCTTATCCAAACTTATCCTCATATATAAAACAAATAGGTTTGATTAGATAATCTACAGCTACTTTTCAGTATTAAAATATTTCTAGATATAAGATCATTATTTTAAAAACATTACCTAAAGTACATATTATGTTAATAATGCCACTAAAAATTGTGAAAAATCAGCTTATAAATGTACTATAGAAGTCGTTATAACAACAGATTTTCAGATCACAGTATTAGGTTGATTCCCAAATACTCCTGGTTTAACTGTGATAGTCTATGAAAAACACAAAGAGAAAACTAAACACCAAGTTAAAATAAGCAAAAAATGTTCAGAAAGTTTATTATCTTGAGTTTGTTTCATACTTTTTTGAAGAGGAATTTGAATAATCACTTACATACATTTTCATAAATAACAATTCCATGTAAGCTGTCATGTTGTTAGCTACTTATCAAATCAAAATGCTTCCATGAGTTTCTCATTCAGAGATGATATTATTCACTTGGTATTCTCAGAGGTAGCAAGTTATTTTCAAATTAACACAATCTGTTCAATTTACTCTTCATTCATCACAACTAAGATGCATTGAAAAATGAAGATAGCTGTTTTACTTACGTTTGCTCCTGTCCCCAAGTTTTCCCCAGAAAGATTAAAAAACAAAGTATTCCCAAGAGGCTCATGGTTGTAGATAGCAGGAAATCATGGATATAACTGTTTTGAGGATATTCTCCTTTTAAATAAACTGAACTTGAAGAATTCAGATAATCTGGTTAATTATTAATGTCAGAAAGGTGAACATCTAAGCAGGAAAACTAGAATTGGAACTAAAACACCCTTTCATGCCCAGAAATACAGATAGGGAGTCTTTTATAGGAACTTATACCCAGGGAATTTATTTTTATTAATACAAATAAAGGGAATTTATTTTTGTTAATGCAAATAAAGGGACTCTAAAATGGGAATCTGGCACTATGAAGAGTGGCTCAAAGCTAGAAACCAGTAAGCCCATTGCCTTTGGCCTTCCTTTTCTTGTCCAGGGCATTTGCTTTGATGTTGCATCATCTGCAAGCACACATCCAGCAGGTCCACTCTAATACTGATGGAGACCCACCTGGATTCAGTTTCAAATTGAAATGAGTTTGGAAGCATCCTGGTTTAGAGAGGGCTCACAAGATGATCTTTTTTGGAGACCTGAATGGTAGTGTCCTTGGTGCTGGAAATGGTCTGAGCATAACCTAGCTCTGCAAAGGAAGTCAAGGGAATTGTTCTTTGGTCTGTGTCAGTCTAGAGAACATTAGGTGGAGGAAAGATTGTGACTGGTAATGAAAATGCCATGCTGAGTATGCTGTTGTCCTTCTCTCTCTCTCTATATATATATTTTTTTAATTTTCTTCTTGCTGTTGTCCTTCTCTAAGTAACCAATCAAATAATTTAGTACTGACTAGGAAGTGGATATTCTCCAATATTTATTAAGTCATATACCACTCATTCCAAGTTTGTCTTTATTCAGATATAGAATATCCTTTCTTTTTTTTTTTTTTTTTTTTTTTTTGACAGTATTTTTTCTTTTTTTTTTTTTTTTTTTTTTTTTTTTTGAGACAGAGTTTCACTCATGTTACCCAGGGTGGGGTGCAATGGCGCGATCTTGGCTCACCGCAACCTCTGCCTCCTGGGTTCAGGCAATTCTCCTGCCTCAGCCTCCTGAGTAGCTGGGATTACAGGCACCACCATGCCCAGCTAATTTTTTGTATTTTTAGTAGAGACAGGGTTTCACCATGTTGACCAGGATGGTCTCGATCTCTTGACCTCGTGATCCACCCGCCTCGGCCTCCCAAAGTGCTGGGATTACAGGCTTGAGCCACCACGTCCGGCCAGAATATCCTTTCTTTTAAAGAAAACTCATGTTACACCTCTGTCAGGATTTTAATAATTTTAATATAAAAGCTCCAGAAAAACAAAGCTTCCTATAACAACTGACTCTAGTAATTAATTCACAATTTACCAAAATTTTATCTTTATACTTTTTTTTTTTTTTTTTGAGACAGAGTTTCTCTTTGTCACCCAGGCTGGAGTCAAGTGGCACTATCTCGGCTCACTGCAACCTCTGCCACCCAGGTTCAAGGGATTCTCCTGCCTCAGCCTCTGGAGTATCTGGGACTACAGGCATGCACCATCATGCCCAGCTAATTTTTTTGTATTTTTAATAGAGATAGGGTTTTACCATGTTGGCCAGGCTGGTCTCAAACTCCTGACCTCAGGTGATCCACCCACCTTGGCCTCCCAAAGTGCTCAGATAACAGGTGCTCACACCATGCCTGGGTCATTTTTACTTGTTATTTTTTATGATGTTTATGTTCACTAGAAAGTTTTTAATTTATTATCTTCTCTTTTTTAGTACTTATTTCTACCTTAGTATATAATATGTACTGATCTTTAAAATAATAAAACAGATGTCTGTACATATTTCTAGAAATGAGATATTTATGGGCACACTGGCATTCTTTGCTTTGAATTAATAAATAATAAACCAAAAATATTTACAAACACTTTAATACTGAATTCACTAGGGAAAAAAAGGAGCACAAAGATAAATTTGATATACAAATTTCACTGAAGGTATCTCTTGCATGTCATTGAAATGACAAACATTTGCCACTATTGTCTGATCATCTAGCCCATTTATTTCAAAAGGGAATCTGTGAAATGATTAAGCTGGGTTGCAAAAGAAGGGTCAAGTTAAAATAAACAAAGTACTTTTGCCATCATTTTTGGGAAATGAAATTTAAGAGAGAACAAGTACACTCAAATAAAGGTAGGTAATATTTGTATTTTAAGTGCAAATAAGTTTGTTTGCTTGAGCTGTAAAGTAAATGTTGATAACCGATTTTTGCAAACCATTGTCCTGTTTCTCTGGTAGAAAACATTTAGAAAATGATGGATCTCAAAGATTCTCAACAGAACTGAAGTTCAACAATTTATAGATTTTCAACTGTGTTTAGCCAAAATTTTTTATTTACCTTCTAAATGTGGCTCACAGATGAATTTTTTAAGGCTGGATGTGATAGCTCATGCCTGTAATCCCAGCACTTTGGGAGGCCAAGGTGGGTGGATCACCTGAGGACATCAGGAGTTTGAGACTAGCCTGGCCAGTATGGTGAAACCCCATCTCTACTAAAAATACAAAAATTAATTGGGTGTGGTGGCAGGCTACTGTAATCCCAGCTAATCATGAGGCTGAGGCAGAAGATTCGCTTGAACCTGGGAGGCAGAGGTTGCATTGAGCAGAGATCATGCCACTGCGCTCCAGGCTGAGTAACAGTTCTGTCTCAAGAAAAAAAAAAGATTTTTCTTTATAATATAAAATGTGACCTTTGGTGAATCTTTGGTTTTTATACAAACACTGTCTTTCTAAAAGAGAAGAATCTCAGATCTGGCAGAAAGTTTGGTGGTCACCTGACCTTCCTGCTAATGCTACCTCAATTCTCCCCTCATGATTGAGCCCAAATGACCTAGCCTAGGGCACAAGGACCCTCTTGAGCCGTGCTCAGTTCTCCAGCCTCAATGTTCCATTCTTCACTTTGGCCAAGGAGCTGAATTACTTGTGACTGTTCCCTGAAGTCACCTTTACACCAAGGTGCTCTTAGCAGGATAACAATTTTGTATCTTTCAAATGGATATTCTTTAGTTATTTTGCACTTATTTGGTAAAATACGCCTGAACACCAATTTTTTATTAATACAGACTACAGAACTCTTTTTTATGTATAATAAAGGATTTTATAGTGCATAATTTTCAAAATCAGAGAGCTTACAGGGAGGTATATTAATGGGTTGTAAATTTAGAGAATAAAAAATCAGCAATATTTTGTTTGTTATTGTTTTCAGAAATTTAGCCCACCAGATTGTGAACTTCAAGTGCCTTCTGGCTGGCTAGAGTAAGAAGTGATGTGACCCATAACTGCCCCAGGTAATTTTCATGAGCCTGTTCCCTGTCCAGAGGCCAGTGGAGAAACAGAGGTGTCTCCTCAGAATTAAATTATTCCAAACGAAGACATAAGAATCATGCAAGTTTTGTTCAAGAGTGGTAGGCTGGCACTAGGCAGATGGGTAATTCTAAGTAAAACCCAATATTTGTCCCTCTGACTGCTTTTCGGCTCAAGCCCACAGACTCATGTTCTAATCCCTTAGTAGAAAGGCTCTAATAAAAGGCCAACTGAAATTCAAAAAGAACCACTTCAATAATTCTCCATGGGACACAGAAAAGGAATGCACTGCAGGCTTCAGTACCAGCAGTTTAAAGACTGACTGGAGAGAGGGCGGAGGTGAAGTGAGGTAGCTGAATAGAACTCCCCAGAGATAGTTTTCCATACTGGAACACCAAATAGAACAACTATCCATGCAAGATAGCACCTTCATAAAAGCCATAAAATCAAGTGAGTGATCACAGTGCCTGGTTTTACCATAATGATAAGGAAAGAGGCATTGAAGATGGTGGGAAAGACCGCCCTGCATCGCCTACACCACCCTTCCTCCAACCACAGGCTGCACCGTAGGAAAGAGAATCTGTGTGCTTGGAGGAGGGAGAGCAAAGTGAGTGTGGGACTTTGTATTGGAGTCAGTGCTGCCCTGTCATGGTGGAACATAACACAGGACAGAATTCTGCTGTTGCCCAGAATTCTGACAGCACATTTAGGCCAGGCCTTGGGCCAGAGGAGAATTCTCTGCCCCAGAGGGAGAAACCCAGGTCATGGCTGGCTTTACCACTGGCTAACTAAAGTGGTCTGAGGTCCTGAATCTATTTGAGTGGCAGTCAGGGCACAAGACTAAAATCTGTAGATTAAACTTAAAATGCTAAGTACCCCAACTTACCCCTACTGACTGAATGAACTCCCACTTGGCCAAAGAGACCCCAGAACAACCTTAAAAACTGAATTTCTGGTCGTGATAGGAAGGGAGGTTACATATGCCTTGTTATATCCCCTCCCTTTGGAGTTTAGACACAACTGCCAGCATTTAAGTTAAAAGAGGGATCATAAGAGCGACAAAACAGACTCTGTGGCAGTAACATACCAAATTATAAACAAGACCTCAGGCCCTTCAGGCAAGGATTCATACCCTACACACCATAAAATGTCATTAAATGGGTTTAAAAATCAACCTGGTATAGGCTGGGCACAGTGGCTCACGCCTGTAATCCCAGCACTTTGGGAGGCCAAGGCAGGTAGATCATCTGAGGTTAGGAGTTCAAGACCAGCCTGGCCAACACGGTGAAACTGGTCTCTACTAAAAATACAAAAAATTAGCTAAGTGTGGTGGCAGACCCCTGTAATCCTAGCTACTCCGGAGGCTGAGGCAGGAGAATCGCTTGAACCCAGGAGGTGGGTGAGCTGAGATCATGCCATTGCACTCCAGGCCTGGGCAACAAGAGCAAAATTCTATCTCTAAAATAAATAAATAAATAATAAATAACCTGGTACAATATGGCTTACTTTCCAACCTGACTCTGATGTAGCATCACATGACAGAAGACCCTGATGCAAATAAAAATATTTTACCTCAAAATACATTTCTTTGACATATTTTGAAATGGCCCTGCAAAGCTATATTTTGTGGGGGAGATTTGCATCTCCATTAACACAGCCAGGCCTTCCCTTTCTAGGCTTTTCCCAGATCTGGCAGAGTTGACCTGAGAGTCTGACATCTCAAAGGTCTGAAAAGAGACAGACATTTGCCATTG